GACGCCCCGGTCCCCCAGCACCACTGTCTCTCTGACGCCCCGGTCCCCCAGCACCACTGGTTCTCTGATACCCTGGTCCCCCAGCACCACTGGTTCTCTGACGCCCCGGTCCCCCAGCACCACTGTCTCTGACAACCTGGTCCCCCACCATCAGCGTCACTCAGAACCCAGATCCCCCACCATCAGCGTCTCTCACCGCCATCCCCCTCCCCTCTAGGAGGTGCCGACACTAAACCAGATGTGGTCACGCGGCCAGCAGGTCATTCTGTCCTACGAGGAGGACAGCGTTGTGAGCCGGCACGCAGAGCTGTGGCCTGGGATCCCCTACTGGTGGGGCAACCAGGTGAAACCCCAGGAGCTCATCCACTACCTGGAAAGCATGAAGAGCCGCGGCCGCCCAGGTGAGCACGTCCTGTCCACTTATGGGACCCCACCCTGCAGCCCGGTCACACACTGGCTTGCTTCTGGCTCTCAGGAAAGAAGTTTGGACGTCGTCTTTTTTGTGTGTGTGTGCGTGTGGGTGTGTGCACGCGTGTATAAGTGCATGCATGCACACAGAGGCAGGTATGTGGATAACACGGGTACTCGTGCCTGCGGCTGTGTACATGCAGGTGTATGTGCACTTGTGTGTACGTGGATGCAGATGTATGCATAACATGGACACGCTGCAGTAAGTGTGCACATGTGTGCGTGCGTACAGACACGCAGATAAGTGCACGGCACGCACGTGTGCGTGGGTGTGTGCAAATGTGTGTGGGTGTGTGCACACACGTGCAAATGTGCGTGCATGCACACGGACCCGGATATGCGCACAACATGCATGAACACGCGTGTGGGCATGCGATGTGTGTGTGCACAGGGATGCACGCAGATGCAGATGCACACAGAACATGGATGCACGTGTGTGGGTGTGCACACGTGTACGCACGTGTATGTGTGCAGATGTAGATATGTGCACATGGACAAATGTGTGGGTGTGCGCAGACGTGTGTGTGCGCGTGGGTGTGGACAAGTGCATACATACAGACATGCACACACTTCCTCATGACGCGTGTGTGCACGCATGTGCACACATGTGGTGTCCATGCCGAGGTGTGTGTCGTGTCCATAGGCTGCAGAGGGCTCTGCTGTGCAGGTGTGGCTCCGGCGTCCTGCACCGCCGTGGGACTGACACGCACCCCGTGCGGCGTGCCATGCTCACACACAGACGCGCTGTGCACGGTTGAGTGCAAAAGAGCCAGGACAGAGTGGCTGGTGGCTGCTGACCGTCCGTGTAGCGGGCGCTAGCTGGGGGTACGGGCATGGGCTGGTGGACCCTCCAGCCACCCTGTGTAGCGGGGGCGTGGTTGCTTTATTTGAGGACGAGGCGTGAGGAACGCCCACGACCTGCAGCGGCATGTCTGCTCTCTTTGCCTCCCCCTGTCTGAGCTGTCTGTCCGTCTCTGTAACTGCATCCCTATCCCTCCGTCTTTGTCCGGTTTCCCATCTCACTTTGGTTCGGTGCTTCCTTTGTACAATGGCTGCGTGGAGTCCCCCTCCCAGAGGTGACAGGGTTCTCCGCCTGGAACCCCCTAGGCGGCCAGCGTGGCACGCCGGCCGTGCTGCCAGCGGAGGGCCCCCAGGCGCTCACCCCTCGCACACTCAGTCCACCGTGCCCCATCGGGCGGCGGGTCCGAGGGCGTGCCCTACCTCCGGCTCAGACTGGGCTGGTGCAGGGCCCGTGTGCTCATGTGAACTCCTTGTGGCAATGCCCTCAGGGCCATGTGTTTCCACTGGGGCCCTGTGGTCTGAGGGCTTCGTGAGGCTGCTTCTGCCCAACACGCTGCAGACCAGCCCTGCTCACTGCTGAGGCAGAAGCCCCTGGGCTTGGTGGCATCCACTGGCTTGAAGAAAGGGACCTTTCCTTGATTGTGGAGACCACAGCTTTACTATTTCTATCCGTGGTCAAGGGTATGTGGCTGTGCCAGGGGAGACTCTGAGCGTCCTGGCCGTGTTGTTCTGTGTCCTGTTCCGCATTAGTGGCCGGTGACGCAGTGTGGTCGTGGGTCCCGGTCGGCACTCAGGGAGTGGGTCCCTGAGTCAACTCCATCGACGGCCGTGTTTGGAACCGAAAGAGCCATCAGTGCAGACAGACTCGCGGGGGTGACACGTGTGCCAAGCTGTGCCGCGTGCTTCTGGTAGCTGGCTCCGTGCGCCTTTCCACGGAAGGCAGCTCGTTTTACGCCCAGACGCTGCACTGACCGCTGGCTTCCTGGTGTGTTCCATGGCCCGTTGTTACGGAGCAGACTCCTGCATGGGGTGCCCCTCTGACGCGTGCCGTGGAGAAGGTCTGTGTGGTTCCAACGACACGGGGGTGCGACTGGGGGGCACCGTTCTAGCCCCAAACCTGGCTGAGCTTGGGCTCCCACTTGGTGCTAGTCCCACGGTGTTTGAAAAGCTCTGGGTGGATGCAGCCCAGCGTTCGTGGTACGTGTGTGGGTATGCTGACGGTCCCTCTGCACAACAGAATACGGATTCTGCACGGAGAGGACACATGGTGCCGTGTGGACGGACCACGGAAGCATGGTGGTGGGTGAGGGAAGCCCATACCCACGGCCACATCGGGTGTGCGGGGGCACAGAGAACGGGAGCTTGTGGGAACAGGGCCTCCTTTGGGGGGATGAGAATGCTCTGGAACCAGACAGCGGTGGTTGCACAGCCACGTGAATGTGCCACATGCTGCCGGATCACTCTGTTTCCAGTACTGAACGTGGCAACTTGTGACTTTCCCCTCCACGTTGAAGGAAAGTAGCTGGTGGGGGGCAGTGGGGGGCGTCACGCAACCACTGCTGAGAACCACAGTTGTCTTTGCCTCGGGGACGGGGAGCTGAGCTGCAGAGGCCTCCCCACGCCAACGTGAGAGGGAACGTGTACAGGGGCCTCTGCTGCGGCCCTCCGCGGACTTCCCACGCTCCCGCCACTCAGGTGGCTCCGAGCCCATATGGGGCTCCAGCTCTCACGTGGCTCCAACTGTTCCCACAGCTCTGAGGGCTCACGTGGCTCCGAGGGCTCTGAGATGTTACTCCATCCACCACACAGAGGTTGTTGGGACATGGACGCCTTTGGGGACATTATTCTGTCCACCAT